CATGAAAATTCCCCGGTAATAATTTGGCGTACCGCGCTTGGCGCAGCACTGGGTTCAGCCCTCCTAGCGTTGGGCAGCATCACTTCTCGCCCAGGTACATACCTGCGTTGCACACCCCTGGTGTAAAAGGCGGCGACCCTAGCCACACCAGCTCAGACATGTCACATCACGGCCTCGTGTACCCAGCCCCTCTTCCAACACGTGGCACACATTCGTGTCTAAATGTAAAATCCCCTGGAAAATTGCGTGTTGGGGTGCTTATTAACATTTGCAGCAGTTAGAGGGTACTCGCTACTTAAAAGGTTGAGAAACACTGCTGTCGGGCAGAACACAGCCCCGCAGGAGGGAACCAGCCGCCCCGGAGAAAGCTACTGCTCCTGCACGGCCCCGCGCCGAGCTGAGCCCCTCGCTCGCTCAAAGGCACATTGTCAGCTGGCTTGTACAGAGGCCGCCAAGTGCCTGCGTTTCCAATCCAGCCAGAGCTGCATCCCAGAGCCAAGTGACCTCCCATCTCCCCTCCCAGCCAAATTCCTCTTTCAGAATAATAAACAGTTCAGCTCAAAAAAAAAAAGAAAAAATCCCCTAACAGGCTGCTAACGATTTTCCTTCCCTCCCCGAGGCCTGGAGGCAGGGCAGCCGCAGCCTCGCACTGCTGCAGGGGGACTGGGAGAAGAAGGAAGCTTGCTGGAGGGGCTGGGGGGTCTGAGACCGCCGTGGGTTGAATCCTGCTCTCGCCCAGGCGCCGGCCCCGACCTCGAGGCGGCAGGAGGCACGTGAATAGGTAGGGAGGCTCCAGGGTGGTTTCCCAACAAGGACCGGCTTGATGGGGAGAGCTGGGGCAAAGGAGAAGCAAAGGGTGTCACAACCTCTGGTGCCTCCTCCTTGCCCCATTTCTCCCAGCTGGAGCGGGGACAGTGTCCCGGGCGCTGGCAGCGCTGGCTCCCGGGTGGGAAGCAGCAGCAGGACGGATTATGAAAGCACAGAGCCGGCAATGGAAATCCCCAAGAAACAACCTGGCGGAGCGTCGCTCCGTGCAAAACGCGCTGGGAGAAGAGCGACCGCGGGGCCTGCCGGCCCGTGCTCGGAGGAGCGATGCTCAGGTTGCGGGGCAGCTGGAGGGGGGCTCTGCCAGGGGGTCGCAGGCTGTCGTCTTCAGCGTGCGACCCAGGCCCCGCGCCGTCGTGATGTTTTTAAACATGATGAACTCAGGGGCTTTGCTATCGGGTGTCTGGCACTCGGGGCAAGGTTTCAGCCCTTCCTTGCACGGCGCAGGCCTAGGAGCAGGGTCTTTGGGGCAGGGAGGAACAGCTACGATCACGGGCCTCGCCATAACACCCTGCCAGCGTTGGCAAGCCCGGCGAGTCACCGCAGCTCCCACTTCCTGAGCCGTTTCCTATCTCTCCCTGCGAGTGTCTGGCGCTAATTATTTGGGTTTGATTCGAGGACGTCCAACCTGCCAGCGTTTGATGGGCTCCATGTGGCTTTTGCATGCAGCCCGGAGCTTGGCGCCATGCGCCTGTGTCTGTGCGTGTGTGCGAGAGACGAGGAAACCCACCTTTCTGACAGCCAGACCTGGCTCTGCATGAGACTGAGCTCTCAGTCCCCTAGAAAGGAGCCGTATACATGAAAAGCAAACACAGACAGCATCTCCTCCACCCTTCTTCCCCGCCCCAAGGCAGCGTGGACCGAGCCAGCTTTGTCGGGAAGGGACTGGCGATCTGAAGCATTTCCTCTGGGATGGGAAAAAACTAGTGTCTGCGTGTGCGGCTTGTGCCCCGGCCAGAGCAGATAAACAAGGGAGAGGTCACTGCAGTCAGCAAAACGTTGCCACCCTCCAGCCCCAGGCGGGAAGCGTCTCCCCCTTCTCACAAGCAGCCAGCTCCAGGTAGAGGGGCAGGCTGGGGCGCCGCGGGCACCGCTGCTCTGTGGGCAGACGCGGAGGATGACAATTGCAGCGGGGCTCGGCGGGTCAGCCGGAGGCCTGGATGCTGGTGCCCTCCCCATGAGCGGTGTCTCCCAGGAGCGATACCCAGTGGTTCGGGGGCTGGGAGATGTGACTTGTGCGGACAGGTTGAGGGACCTGGGCTGACTGAGTCTGGAGAAAAGACCAAGGGGGGTTGAATAGCAGCCTGCACCTCCCTGCAAGGGGGATGCAAAGAGGATGGAGCTGGGCTGTTCTCAGTGGGGGCAGATGACAGAAGGAGCAATGGGCTCAAGCTGCAGCAAGGGAAGTTGAGGTTGGATATTAGGAAAAAGTCTCTCACTTTGAGGGTGGTGAAGCACTGGAACAGGTGACCGAGAGCGGTGGTGCAGCCTCCATCCTTGGAGGTTGTTAAGACCCGGCTAGACAAAGCCTTGGCTGGGATGATGTTGGGGCTGGTCCTGCTTGGAGCAGGGGCTGGATGTGACCTCCTGAGCTCCCTCCCAACCCTCTTTTTCTATGAGTCTGTGATCCTGCTAACATCAAAGGGATGCTCTTGGAAGAAGGTGCTACCCAACACATTCAAGAGGGTTCACAGCCTGGTCCCAGATATGCCAGCCTGAACCACCCTTAGATGTCTTCTTCTCTCTTCTTCTCTCATATACTTCTTTCCCCTGCTACACATCACGAGTGCGGCAGAGCCACACACAGCTGCTTTATCACTGACACTTGCCTGGGTGCACGGGTGTGCTGCACACGCGAGGAGGTCAGCCGTCTGCGGTGCATCACCACACTCACGTATTGGACTTGATAAGTCACAATCTTATAGAGTTTGAGGGCTGTTTTTCTAAGACAGCCTGACCAGCAAGTCCAGCTTGCTGCGGAGATTTTGGAGTGGGATCCTCGGGCCCTCGGTTATCTAGGTCAGACTACAGGATCATCACAGTCCTTTTCTGGCTTTAAAATAGGTATTAACAACACACCTTGGTACAGATGAGCTGTGAAACAAAACCCATTGTTTTTTGTGGATCTTTGGTCTTTTGTGGTGTTGCCTTTACTGCTCAGCTAAGATATATGAAGGCATCTGTCTGGCTGGCGTTCGCTACGTCCGTGCCAACACATGCCCATGGTGCGGCTGGTCTCTCTTTCTATCTCCATATCGAGTCCTCTCTGCTGCTGGACCAGGTCAGGATCCTGGGGCTGGAAGACTGATGTCATCTAGGTTGGCTGCCTGAAGCCCATCTCACTCCTTTCATCTCCCCGGTGCAGGAGCTCCCCCTGGGAAATGGCCCCCTGAGGAGGCAGAAAGAATCACAAGGTTTGGGGGAAAGTTGCTGAATAAGTTGTAGACCTGGCTGGCTTTTCTGGTAAATCAGGCCTTTTCAAGCCAAGTGAAAGGATAACAAAAACATCTGACGACTGCACGTCATTTAGAAACCATTTCCTTCTAATGTCCAGCAGACAGACACAGCTCCAGGCCCAGGTCAGCAGGAGACGGCATCTGGAGCCGGGGTCGGCAGCACGTTGCGCGCCTCTCGTACAGCGTTTCTGTGACCGCTGGCACAGGAAAGGGACCCCAGAGCGTGCTCCATTGCCAACGATATTGCAGAGGCAGCTTTTGGGGTTGTCTCTGTTAGATCCAGATCCAAAAGAGTGCAGTCCGTTGTAGGGGAGGCAGGGAAGGCCCAGCTCGCGGTCGCAGCGGGGCTTCTTATAAAGGTCAGACCTGGACAAGGACCTTCCTGAAGCTCCCAGGTTAGGCTGGGACTCGAGCCCAACTCTCACGACTGCGCGTCTGGGAGCTGGCTTGCATTCCCTGTGGTTCGTGTCTTGGTGTCGTCTGTGATTTCCTTCCTTTCTTGGGGACGGTATTCGCTCCAGGGTATTTACTGGGGAACTTCACCCTGCGTATGACAACTCAGTCGGGCTCCTGTGTACTCGGTCTCATGGCGTGACGTCTCCCCGAGTTTCTCCCTGTCTCTTTATGGGACAATATAGCAGTGGCAGGGGGAGACGGGCTGCTCCCTGCTTGCCAGTGCCATGAAAAGCCCCAGAGCGCCAAAGCACCGCAAGGAGATGCCAGCCCCGAAATACCTCCCTGCCACAGTGCCCATGCTCCCTCCTCCGGCTCCAGGGAGCCTGGGTGCCACCTGCGCAGTTTGCTGCACGAGCTCCTGGCCCCCGACTGCTTCCAGCAAATCCTTCTGCTCCTTGTTTTCTTTTCCCAGGCCCTGGGTGTTGGTTTCTCGGTGCCTTCCCTTCACGTGCAATGGGAACCTCTTCCCCTCAGCTCTTTTCTTTTGTTTCTACTCTGACAAATATTTGTCCCCGCATCTGCGGAGGCAGGCGGCACTGGCTGGTTGATAAAGAAGGACAAGAGTAGCACGTTGTCCCTGGAGCAGTTAGGACGTGTGAGCCGATAGCCGGGAGGGTTCGGTCCATTTTCTATGGAAACTATTTTGGAGGGGACAGCTGGGTGTCTGAAGCGCCTGCTTTCACCTTTGGGGTGGGGGAGTTAAAAAAGCCCAAATCTGACATCTTTTCAGCATGTCCCACCAAACAAAGGTAGACTTTTTCCAGGGAAAACCAACTCATTTGCCAAGCAGCCCTGCCGCCCGCCCCTGGGAGCAAAGGGAGGAGAAGCTAAGAGGCGGAGAAGTGTGGGCGAGCAAAGACAGGGCCTTCCAGCCAGGGCACTTCAAAGCAAGTGAGCTTTCACACAGGGATGAGCAACACGGGAGGCGACTCATGGAAAGACTCAGTGAAAGCCCCGGTGGCCAGAGACGGCCGCGGAGCGGATCCAGAGTGAGGAAAGCGGGGCAGGCTCGCCAAGAGTAAGAGACAGAGCAAAGGTCGCCTAGTGCTGCGGTCTCAGCCTTGGAAAGCTGGACGGGACTGGGAGCCTCCCAGCGCCCTGGCGGCCAGGCACGGGGCCCGCCTGGTTTTCTCATGGGCTGCCATGGCCCCATCTGCGTGCTTGGGAGCAGGTCCTGCCACGCTGCCAGCCCGGCCCGGGGGGACCCCAGGGATCCGCTCTGGTCGCAGGATCTTTGCGCTCACTCTGGGTTGCTTTCAACAGGACGTGGCCCGCAGGGCAGCTGAGCCCCATCACCATGCCTCCTCTGGCTCCGGAGGGACCCTTCCTCCTGCTCCTTCTCCTCGCAGGTGAGCGCATGATAGGGGGAGACAAAATGTGGGGGAGCGGTTCGCGGGGCCCGCTTTCATTTGGCCCGGAGAGCTGCTCGGATCTCCCCGGAAAGAGGCCTGGCACACTGCACAAGCAGATCCGCTGCCCCGGTGCAAACAGCTGGCCTCAGAAGTTGTTCATCCGTCCCTCTCATTGCACGTACAACCTGGCAGGGCCTTGCGGGAGCTGCCCGCGGGCGGGGGGCAGTGCCATGCTGCAGGCTGAGCGGAGCATCGCGACCCCCCTCTGCCTCCCCGACCCCGCTCCCGGCAGCAGCGCTCGGGGCAGAGGGTGCAGCGCGGAAGCTGGCAGCCGTGAAGACCTGCCAGGAAGCGACACAGGAAGCCATTCAGGAAGATGTTGCTTTCTGTATCACTTCCAAAGGATTTCCGAGAGAGTTTACTTTCACTCCTCTTTTTTTTTTTTTAACCGCTGCGTTCCTCCTTCATCCACGGGCCTTTCTCCCCCATGGCCCAGAAGGGAGGCAGTGCCCTCCCTCTCCACCTCTCACCGTTACATGCAGCATCCTAGCTCTCCACCTCTCCCTGTTACATGCATGACCTGTCTGGGCCCGTGGGAGAGGCATGTCCCTTAACACTGCAGTGCCTCGGTTGGCTTTGATGGGGCTAAATGCACTAAGGCTTGCCCCAAGCTCTGGCGGAGACAGGAGTGCTGATCCAGTGCTGTGTGGGCTCGCAGGCAGAAATGCTGCCAGTGGGAGCACCGCCTGGCCCCCGCGTGACTCCCCCACCCCGTCCCTCTCCCCCAGGTCTGCCGGCAGTGACTCCCGGGAGCAGCCAGCTGCACATTTCCCCCAGCGACCCCGAAATCATCCTCAGCCTCTTCAGCAGCTCCTCCCTGACGTGCTCGGGGGAGGCCGAGGTGGTCTGGGAGCGGGACCGGCAGCCCCTGGCCGCGTCGCTGGAGCAGAGAGATGGCGTCTTCTACAGCACAGTCACGCTCCACAACCTGACAGGCCTTGACACGGGCGAGTACGTGTGCACCTACAACCACTCCCTGGGTTGGAAGCAGGCGGAGAGGAAGGCCATCTATGTCTACGTGCCAGGTAGGAGACACAGCACTCCCAATGTGGGGCTCGAGGAAGAGCCCTAAGTAGGAGACGGTCATGGGAAATGCAAGCAAGGGCCTCCCAGCACAGAGACCCTATCAGGGCAGGGGAACATGAGCGTTCAACTACATCAAAAAGGATGTAGCAGAATTAGAAAAGGTCCAAAAAAAGGGCAAACAAAATGATCAGAGGCAGGGAACAGTTGTGATAACAGGAGAAACTAAAAAAAAGCAAAGGCTCTTCAGTTTGGAAAGGAGAAGGCTGAGGGGGATATAATATCACGTCTATAAGGTCTATAAGATCACGAAGGGAAGCGACCAAGCGAACACCAAGTCCCAGAATACTAGCACTCGGAGGCACCTGCTCAAATGCCTAAAACTAACCAGAGAAAGGACTTGTTCTTGCAATGCATAGCTCACTTGTGGAATTCGTGGCCACAGGAGGTGGCGGGTTTCAAAAAGGGGGCTGGAGAAATTCATGGGTGATGGATTTCCTAATGGCTGTTGAACAGAGCGGCTGGAGGACTTTCTTCTGGCATCTCTAGCCCGATACGTGGGGGATGCCAAGGAGAGGATTGAATAGGTGCATCGCTCTAGGGATATCCAGTGTGAGGCTCTCCCTGCGTAGCACCCACTTTGGCCGCTGTCAGAAACAACGTAGTGGGCTGAGCCAGGGTGGCACGTCCTATGGTCTTACGCATCTCTCCGGGGAGGAGCACTGGGGAGGGGTCCCAACAGTTCAGCAAAGTGGCTGCTTCTCTCTTGCCTAGTGATGATGAGGAGGAGGAGGAGGATGATTACAGCCTGTCTGAGCTGGGGGGACCCTGCACCAGCCCAGCAGACTGCCTCTGCCCCAAAGAGCCGGCAGCCCGCTTGACCGGCGTTTCTCTCCCTCCCGCAGACCCCTCCCTGGTCTTCCTGCCCAGTGACTCCGCAGAGTCGTTCATCTTCACCACGGGCTACACGGAGGCCACCATCCCGTGCCGCGTGACCGACCCTGCCTTCCACGTCGCCCTCTACGAGAAGAAGGACGACACCCCGATTCCTGCCACCTACAACAGGCAGCAGGGCTTCAAGGGCTTCTTCGAAGACAAGACCTACATCTGCAAGGCGACGCTGGGCGACCGGGAGGTGGACTCAGACCACTACTACATCTACAGCATCCAGTGTGAGCTGCCCTTCGGCTCCGCTCCTGCCGGGATGGGGCCGGTGGTATTTCATCAGCTTAAGCCTCCCTCGCCAGGGTGACTAGGGGCCCCTTTCCTCACCCGCACCATGTCCCCACGCGTTGAAGGCAGCCCTGTTTGAGGCTGCTCCTCCTTCCTCCTGGTCCGGCCGAGAGCGGGGTTAGGAACAGCTACCTAGGGGCTTCCTCCTCTCCTGACTTGCCTCAGTTCAACACCATTGAGTGAGTCTGCGTCTCTGCAAAGAAGGGCAGGATCCAGTTCTCTGTGCTCGTTCGTAGGCCACAAGCTTGTCCCTCCTGCCCCCAGCAAATATTCATGCTCAGCTTTTTTGGCTGTTTTGACCCTCAGACTGGAGCCAATATAGGCTCTTTCCTAGCGTCCCACAGGGGCTCTGCTAAGCGCCAGCTCCCGTCCTCCAGGACAGGATTATTCGGACATGGCGCAATACAGAAGAGAAGGCCCAAGGCATCCCCTGGGCACCCAGCGCACCCAAGACCTAGTTAAAATCGTCCCCTGCTCTTGGGTCACGGCTCCTTGCTGAAAACCATCCCGGGGAAGTTTTTTTCCACTGAGCTCAGGGGAGATGATGCTGACAATGCCCTGGCTTCCTTGCACGCCCAGCCTTCCTATGGCCGAGTCAAGCTCAGGCACCAAGTAGTCTGCACAGCCACGGCCAGGGCACGGCACCTTCAGAGCAGGATCAGGGCCCTGTTTTGCTCGGGGATGCAGACAGCCCGTCCCCCCGGGACAAAAGACAGGCCGGCTGGGGAGTACCAGGCAGCAGTGAGTGGGTACCCGCGCTGCCAAGGCACCAGCTGTCACCTCTGTACAGAGCTGTCCTCCTCCCTGCTGTCTCACCCCCGCTGCTTTCGTTCCAGCTTCTTCCAGCGTTAACATCTCCATCAGCGCAGCGCAGACCCTGGTGCGGCGAGGAGAGAACATCACTGTCATGTGCACCGTCAGCGGCAACGAGATACTCAACTTCAACTGGGTGTACCCCCGCCTGGAGGTGCGTGCCGGACAGGGATGGTGCGGGCAGCTCCCAGGGCCTACCTGGGGCTTGCAAGACGCACCTGGCCTGCTGGCCCTGTTTCACCGTGCGGGTTTCCTCCCTTCCCTGTGCAGACGGGCAAGGTGGTGGAGCCGGTGACGGACTTCCTGCCCGGATCCAGCCACGAGATCCGCTCCATCCTGATCATCCAGAACGCGGAGCTGGAGGACGCGGGCTCCTACGTCTGCAACGTCTCAGAGGGCTTCCAGCAGAACATGGACATGAAGGACATCACCGTCAGTGTGGTCGGTGCGTCGGGGTCGTCTCTCAGGCTCCTGGGGGGGTGGGTGCAGATTTCCCACCCCCAGCTCCTTGCACTGATTTAGGGGCGGGCACCAGCCCTGCCCCACGCTGACCTCCCTGCTCCCCCCTGCCCCGAGCAGAGCGCGGGTTCGTGAAGTTCCTCTCCGAATGGCACACCGTGGTGTTTGCCGAGATGCACAAGAGCCCCACCATCCGGGTGCAGCTCGAGGCCTACCCCCCGCCCACCGTCCAGTGGCTCAAGAACAACCAGCCCCTGACGGCGAGCAGCAGCACCGACTTCTCCATCACCACCCGCAAGCTGTCGGAAACCAGGTGAGGTGGGAGCATGGAGAGCAGCGCCCTGCCGCAGCGGGAAAGCGGGTCTCAGAGCCAGCCGCAGGCTCAGCTTGCCTCTCTGGGCCGTCCCAGCTCGGTTGTTAGCCCTGCCGGCTCAGTGCCAGCCCCGGGGCCCTGCGGTGGGGCCACCGGGTGGCTCTTCACGGCCGCGGGATTCGTCTCCCTCCAGGTACGAGACAAATCTGAACCTGGTGCGGGTGGAACCGAAAGAGGGGGGCAACTACACCATCCGGGTGTCCAACGACGACGACACGCAGCACCTGAGCTTCTTCCTGCAGGTCAATGGTGAGGAGGTGGCATGCACACCCGCATGTACACATGTGTGCGCGTCCACACATGCATGCACGTAGATGCACACACCCATGTACACACTCGTACATCCATGCACACGTATAGGTACACATGCATGCACATCCCTGTACACACATACACCCCTGCGCATGCATGCACACACACACATGCATACACCCATGTGCATCTGTGCATGCACACATATGTGCGCATGCATATGCACACACATGCGTACATGCACACATGTGGCAGACCCCCAGAAGGCTGGAGCTGGAGCAGGCACGCAGAGTCCAGAGGGGGCAAAGTCCTTGACATCAGGTCCAGGTTTGTCCCTTCATCCCAGTCCCCCGTCCAGCCCATCAGCTTACAGGAGATGCCAGAAAAAATCCCCACTGGCACTGCCCACAATGGAAGAATGGGAGAGCTGGCGCTTATGCTGGTCATCACACAGCAACCGGGAGCCTTGCAAATGACTGGGGTGGGAGGCACTGTGGTTAGGTCCCCAGCCAGCCCAAGCCCCTTGATCAGCTCCAGCCTCTAGGATGTTTCCAGCACTCGCCCCCCACCCCAGGCAGTGCAAGGGGCACCTCTTACACTATGTCCCCACTCCTTTTTCCCTGCCCTCAGTCTCAGCCAAGGTGCTGGCGCTGCACGAGAACAGCACCGTCAAGGGGGAGCAGAAGGTGCTGTGCTCCGCCGAGGGCATGCCACAGCCGGAGATCAGCTGGTACACCTGCAGTGACCACAAAGGGTAAGGGGACGCTGCAGCTTTCGTTCTCTGCGAAGAGCCATGCATGCAGCACCTCCTCCCGGGTGAAGCTGGGAATGGCCTCTTCTAGGGGGACCCTCAGTCCTCTCCCCAAGGGTGGTCACCATCTCCCGTATAGGCCAGCTGTACAGCACCAGGGATGGGATCACCAGCTGATGTGCCTTCTGGACTAGTTGGAGCGCTCCAGCTTTAGCGCCCAAGGGGAGGAGACCCCTGTTAGTGGGATCACAGCCTGTACTTTCATCCCACATATAATCATCGTCATAGTAATGATGAAGATAAATGTCAAGGGAACCAAGTCCTGGCACAGAATCCCAGCTTCCCACTCACTGTACAGTCAGACAAAAAGACAGTCCCCTCATCCACACAACTACCACCCACATATACTACAAGATACAGTCAGCAGAGAGAGACCGACATGCAAGGGAGCACTGTGTGGGTCTGCGGGACGGGCGGCCATCGCATCAAACCGCTGCACGGGAACCGAAGCATTCGTGGTGCAATGTTGCCCTCCTCAACTGCAGGCCAAGCTGGCACAGATGCCCCTCACATGTTCTGCCCCTCTCCTGATTGTTTTCTACTACCCTAAAAGACCCGGACTTTTTTATACGCCAGTGGTTTTCAACCATTTTTTAATTTGGGGACCCCTAAAAAATTTTGAATGGAGGCACAGACCCCTTTGAACTATAAGTGTGAGTATTTACATACTTTTGGTTGATCATAGTCATCTTTCACGGACCTTTTAGACACAGTCTCGGTCCTAGGCAAGCTGTTTGAGAAAATAATTCTGGCACACATCCAGGAGGGGCCAGCAGGGGACTGCATGCTTAGGGGCAACCAGCACGGGTTCATCAGCGGCAGGTCCTGTCAGACCAACCTGGTGGCCTTTTATGATCAGATCACCAGATCATTAGATGCAGGGGGAGCAGTGGACATCGTCTTGCTGGACTTCCGGAAGGCTTTTGACACTGTCTCTCACCCCGTTCTCAT